GTATCATTGAAACTAAGTTTAGAAGCCTAAAAAGAAACCTATTCACTTAAATAAGTTATAGCTTACCCAACCTATAATTTATTTGAGTGGCCAGATTTTTTGTTAAGCTTTTACACTTAATTTCGATGATACGGCCATGCTGTTCTCCGATTCAGTCCGAATAGTATCATATCAGCGCAATGAAGTCCCATACAGCACAGATGGTTGCAGTTACATTGTAGAAACGTTGCAATCTTGCAGATTGCAGTACAATCTTGCAGAGATATTGCAGGGATATAAAAGTGCAAACTTTCGATAGCAATACTGCAGCAATGTTTCAAAAATAATGAAAATACTATATTTTCTATTTGAAAAATGTTTCTAATTACAAGAATTTTATAATGTTATTCTCGTTGATACCAATAATCCCCGAATTATTAAGTACTTGATCAGCGCGGTGTTGCTCGCAATCTCCATCTATTGCGAAGCGACATAACCTTCTTAGGTTGCTTCGCAAAAGCTTGCTGTGCCTTGAAAAAGGCCCGGATGTATATGTAATTAGTAAATTCTCTGCTTATGTACAACAACAAATTATTCCAAAAATATTGCACTGCAACATTGCTATAATGTTGCACTGCAATCACTCTGAGGGCGGACATTTCAACGTTGCTGTAATCCTCCAGAAACGTTGCAGCAATGTTGCGCAACGCTGCTGCAATATTGCAATCTTGCAATGTAACATTTCTGCAATCTTCCTGTAATCTTTCTGTGCTGTGTGGGGTGTAAAAGCCTAAAAAGAAGTCTATTTACTTAAATATTACAAGTTATAGGTTATAGGTTACCTAACCTATAACTTATTTGCGTGAATAGATTTCTCGTTAGGCTTCTACACTTAATTTCAATGATACTACGCTGTTCTCTGATTCAGTCCGAACAGAGGGACACGTCGGTCTGTACACAGATTCCACATAATTTGCATGTTACACAAACGTTTTCACGAATTGACAGTTCTAGGTGCAAAGGGCGCAAAAAGTGCAGAATCACTCCAGCATCCCCTTAACTCCGCCCACTCTTTGGTTATCCGGGTAAAAGTACGAAATTGCGTGCACTTCGTGTTGCAATCTGCGAAATACATCAAGTGGATTACAGAAACAAGAATTAAGTATGGATCAGACCGTGGAATAATTCCTCGCCGAAGAGAATTAGGAAAAACTAAGCTATGCCGGGGGAATCGAGTAAAGTCGCGATAATCCAATTGGCGGCGAACAAAAGGAGGAGAGCGTTGTAATGGCGAAATAGAAAAATATCGGGTAGCGGCGGAACAAAGTGAAGGAAGGTTTCGAAGAAAGATTAAAGAGGGGATTTTGTAAGTAGACGCGAGAATTTGCCCCCGGTCTGTCGGGGATGCTCACGGGCTTCTCGAGGGGGGGGGGAGGTAAAGGGGGATGGGGAGGGGGGCGTCGGCTTTGTCGGGCGAATTCTTGCGGTTTCGGCGCAATTACCTTGACTGAACGTTAACGACGGTTCGTAAATCAGGATAGGACGGAACAGAAGTTATACCATCGGCGGGATGAACGCGATGGGAGCCATCGCTCGAAACGCGGGCCGAAATCTCATTTCGAGACACGCAACGGCACGGTATTTAGAATAAGTTATACATACGCGGAGCTGTATTTCTCTACTTAATCTCCGCGAGGAAGGTCGGCTATTATTCTCCCCGCGATTGCCCCGACGGCTTTTCTTGCGTTCTTACGTGGGAAATTTATTGCTCTTCTATCAAACATTCTATCGAACGTTGTTTTGTTCCTCTCTATACCCTTCTCGAGCAGCTGACATAAATTCTGATCGGTGGCAAGCTGCCAGGGGTAAGTTCAAAGATTGTACGATATACTTATACAATACTCGGGCATTTTGTCCCCAGCCTCATTGTTATGTCCTCCGGGTTGCAGGATTTTTCCAACTTTTCAATATAGTTTTATCGACACAATTTCACGCGATATTTTTTAAGCCGCCATTTACGAAGGTACTTACGAAGCTGCGCAAATATAAGCGCCCGAGCAACACGCGTGTCTTAAAGGCGTTCCAGAGTTGTCTTAAGGACTTCACCGAAAGGCGTCCTAAAGATGTTGAAACTTTTTGAAGGGATTTTTATTCAGCTATCTCAAGTTATATTAAATCTTGTATGAAATATTTTTTGAAGCGTATACATTAATAATTGCCAACATTTGTTGCAATATAATATGGCGCGGTCAGTATAACGTGGCCTATTAAAATGTTTTAGTTAACATACGATATTGTAATTTTTTAATATTTAATGTTTTCATTAATTTCATGTCACGACGCAATTAATATTTCGTCGACGGTGAACACGTTGGTTATTTGATCTGCAGGTAAATTCGGTCATGCGCACCAATAAAAACATTTTCTTAAATTATGATATTTTTCAATTAAAACTTGATATTTATATTAAATACAATATAATGTTGTGAGATATTGGATTAGCATTGCGAAATATTAATGCGCCTGATATTTCATATAAAGTAATTAGTTTACGAAATTCAACTTGTTTGGCTGAAGACGCATCCCATTGGCAAAGTATTAATACAACGAAGAACTTTTATATAAATCAGAAACTACAGAGAACAGATTTAATTAGATAAGATTAGGTTAAACGAATGTGATACGTTGAAATCACGTTTCTTTGAATCTGCTAAATTTTTATTTACTTCTACCAAAACAGTTGCTGGACTTAAAGAAATAGATATGAATTCTCTTGGAAATTTCAGTCTCGATCAAATAAAATGTTTTCATTAATTTCATGTCACGACGCAATTAATATTTCGTCGACGGTGAACTTGGCTGAGATAAATAAATCGTTTCTTTGAAATTAAATAAAAGTCCAGTAAGGTCAAAATTCAACCAGATTTGTTTCATTTCAAGCAAACTTTCTCTGCAATCGTACAAACGCCTTTCTGATAACTTCATAAGACATCCCCCAAATTTTAAGACGTCGAAGCACTACGGTGTTCTCCGCGTACAAGATGTCTTAGAAATAGAATCAGACATTGTCATCTATATAAATGAATAGGCGATGCACTGAAACGTCTTTGTATACACGGCAATTCTAGCTTAATGCAAAATGCACGTGCAATTGTAGATTGACAAAGTGCTCGATGGTAGGACTCATCCGATGGAAACTCATCGGATTTGAGGATCCAATGACGCTTTGTCATTAAAGTCATTACGTCATCCATCAATAGATAGCTCCTAAGCCTGCCGGGTCCGCAATTCAATGCCGACAAAGCCGCATTTACCGATTGTTGTACGCCTCACAATAACCGGCTATGCAGAAACGTTTGAATAGCAACAATGTCCGACTACGGTTTGCGGATAGGGTGACCGATTTCCACATTACCGCAATACTTGGCCCTAGTAATTTTATTGGTTTAAAATATATTTTGTTTGCCTCCCCCCCCGTGTATCTCGGATTAATCAACGCTTCGACGAGTTTTGTTTCCGCTTCCGATCCCTTGGTGTTTGCAATTTCGTTATGTTTTTCCGCGAGGCATCCTTTGTTTTCTCTTATTGCTTTTCGTTTGTACGATTAGTCCGTAATGGCCTCGCGGCGTCAGAAAATTGCGCCGTATTAAACATAAAGTCGTAACGCTAATGAAGAAAGGACCTGAGCAGAATGGGTGCCTTTCACAGTGACGGACGGAATGGTTGCCTTTTTTCAAATGAGATTAGAAACGCGCACTTAGACTCAGGCTTACGTTCCAAAACACTTTCTATGAGAAAAATTTTACTCGAGAAATAGATCGAAACAGCTCAGAATGATTTCGGAATGGCCATCGAGTAAAATTTTCCTCGAAGAGAATTTTGGAACGTGACTGCGGACTTTTAAACTCATTTAAAAAAGTGTTGTAACTATTCTGTCCATCTCTGTACTCTTAGGCCCGATTTCGCCAAACGTCGTTTAACTTTAGTCGTTTGTTAGTTTAATTCATGTTTGTCTGCTTTTAAAGTAAAAACAGTTGGAAAAAGACAAAGAACGAATTAAGCTAAACTTCAAGTTAAGCAACGTTGGTGAAACCGGACTTTATGACACAAGACAGCTATTGTGCGTCACTTGAAGACAGAGACTGGAAACATAAAACATTGTCGTTCTGCCAAGACCCCGAGGGCCAGCTTCACAAATATCGGTTAACTGTTAACTAGGGTCCAGTCGACTCCCTATCTTTTTCCATCTTATTATCTAAGAAGAGACAGAGAACCAAGTAAACTTTGGTTAGCAATTAAGGGGATGCTGGAGTGATTCTGCACTTTCGCACCTTTTGCACTTAAAACTGTCTGTTTCGTGGAAAGATTTGTGTAATAGACAAATTAAACGGCACGTGTACAGATGATCGAAAGCAGCTTGCTATTCCGGCTAAATTAAAGAACAATATGACATCACTGAAACTAAGTTTGTAAGTCTGATAAAAAATAATAGTGAGCAACACACATACTACATGTACTGTATGTATGTGTTGCTCACTATTATTTCTTATTAGACTTACAAACTTAGTTTCAGTGATGCCATATTGTTCTTTCATTTGGCCGGAATAGCGAGCTGCTTTCGATCTGTACACGTAAGCCATTTAATTTGTATATTACACAAATGTTTCCGCGAACTGACAGTTTTTAGGTTAGAAAGGTGCAAAAGTGCAGAATCATTCCAGCATCCCCTGTGAAACTGGCTCTAAAAATCTTAATCTCAAGCAAGTAACAGTTTTAATCGCGCCCCAATAGCTCGGGGTGCTCGGAGCGTTTGACGAGTCTGCGCGGGGGTGGAGCGCGGATCAGTTTTTGCAATGCGAAAGATTTTCAGCGTCAGAAAGTCCTAATTGCCCCGTAGCGTAACGATTACGCGCGTTTTCGCGGTGTGTCACATGACACCGGTCACCGGCCGGGAAAACAAAAGGCCGGAGTGATGGATGGGTTCCAGACGATTGAAGCGGCATGCCGGCTTTCTGTTTCAGGTGGCATGGCTGCGGGTGGACACGCAAACCATCCTGACGATAGCCAATCACGTGATAACGAAGAATCACAGAATCGGCGTCACGCACAGCGAGCACAAAACGTGGCTGCTGCATATACGTGATGTCCGCGAGAGCGACCGAGGGAACTACATGTGCCAGATAAACACTGACCCGATGAAGAGTCAGATTGGGTATTTGGAGGTCGTAGGTTCGTCCATTGTGCCTCGCGCGTCGAATTAATATCACGGTAGAAATCCGGAGGCTGTACGTTTCGATAAAATGGAGGAAGGAGGGCAAAGAGAGAGAGACAGAATCTTTGTTTTTGCAAAATTCGCTCGTTCGTTACGAAGGTTGAGCTCGACTGTAGTAGGACACGGGCGACTGGCGAAATCAAGTTCGCTTTTGGGCTCGGCCCGTGGCATCGCTTTTGAGGCTATACCCGCTACATACATAGTGTATAGATATATTGTAGTGCCTTTAAACCGCCAAACGATAGCATATCGAAAATTGCTTCGCGGTATTTCGCGAAATGGAAGTTGCCGTCCCAGGTTTGTCGTCGTTGATCCCCTCTCTCTCTCTCTCTCTTTTTCTCTCTGAACATTGTGCTCTCGCGCATCGTTCATTTTTTATGATTCCGCGGTATTTCCATTCTTGTGGCATTTTTATAAAGCAGCGCAATACGCGAGTCGCCCGAGCAAATGTGTGTGTGTAAAGGCTCTGATCAGAATTTTTGTCCGACAGTTCCGCCGGATATTTTGGATTATCCCACGAGTACGGATATGGTGGTGAGAGAGGGTAGTAACGTTACGCTGCGTTGCGAAGCAACAGGGTCGCCGACGCCAAACATCACCTGGAGGAGGGAAGACGGCGAGTTGATTATTCTCGGAAACAGCCAGGAAGGTAAACTATTCACGGGCTGTCTTGTACGTCCAAAGAAAGCTTAATAGTTCCCGAAAATACCCCAGTAACGTCCTCAAGTCTTCCGCAGCCGAATGGCTTTGCACAACACATTTATTACGTTCTTCCAGATATATATTTTATCCCTTTCATTGTTTAATCTTTTGTATTTCTCTCTCTCTCTCTCTTCCAATTTTTTTTATCGAATCTTCGGTGACATTTTACGGTTTAGTTGCTTAATTTTAGACTATACAGGAGAAATTGAATTTAAGTAGAACTTACCGATTGAGGTCAGTTTACCTGGATTTCGAAGAGTTACGAAAATGAAAATTCTCTTACCATTTTTGAAGTACAAAATTATTTTTAACATACGAAAAAAATGGTAAGAGTAGTTTCTACTTTCGTAACTCTTCGAGATTCGAGTAAACCGACCCCAATCGGTCAGTTACACTTAAATTCCATTTCTCCCGTTGTATAAATTAAGCAACCAAACTGTAAAATATTTTTCTTTGTACACCTACCAATTTTCGTCCAATAACTCCAGCCAGAGAGCCCACGTTCTCTCGAGGGACTCGATTTTTGTATTAAAAGAGATAGGCGATTCTTTTGCAGCAATAACCAGCTAACCGTTCAATTGCTCACAATGCTCGCCAGATTTCTCGGCGTACGCGCGACAGGCCATTTTCCATAATTCGCGCGCATAAAGCGCGTCAGGTGGCGCGAAAATTTTCGACCATTCCGACATCGACGTACTTATTTTATTCGCATCGCTCATCTTGAAAATCGTCGTAGGGGAAAAGCGCCCCGCGTTTCGCACACGCGCAGCTGAAACACCGGATTCACTCAACGCGGGGGGGGGGGGAGGGGAGGGGGGCGACGATTTATCATTCCGCCTCTCGGACTTTATTCAGCCGACTACGTTGCGTGATGCAATTGCATTCGAAGCTGCCGATGCGACCGTGTCGGTGACGTCAAAGTGAAATATGCGTTTCAGCTCTTATGCGTCTCGCACAATGACGCAAAGGAAAATCGAGCGTCCTCGCTCGCACCTGTTCGTACAACGGTGACTTTATTCCACGGGTACAATAACAATTTATCACCCTTTTGTCTTTCAAACTTATTGAGCGGTCCCGCCTCTCTCCATGCAGTCCCGTTAAATATTTGCTCGCCTTTGTGTGCATTTTGTGCACCTGTCCCCGCGCGGAGGAGCCCGCGATAATTTATAAGGACGAGCGACGCGATTCCTTCGGCCCGTCGGCACTTTTTTACAGTTTGACCTTGTTCTATGGAGACATGAATACGCGGCCGTTTCAGCAACGTCCTTTTTTTAAACGAACATTCAGTTCGCGGGGCTCTTGTGCTAATATTTAATCCCTTTAAATACATCGCGGAAAAATTTCATTCATAATGCACGCGGTCCGGCGATGAAGTAATAAAGTCGACTTTATTTTTATAATTTTCTTCCATTGTTATTTTCGATCCGAACGAATGTGCGCCCTGGAAACGTACATCGAAATATACAATAAAATGATCCCTTCGGTTTTTTAAAAGTAAAATTAGTCTCATTATTCAATCGTTGGATTACACCGTCGTTAATAACAGTTATTTATTATTCACGTTGCTCTTATGGTTAAGCGATTTGCACGATCCCCCCTTAATTTTTCATTCTGTTTTCGGTTTCATGTTAATGCCGTTTAAATACACCGCTTCTCATAATGACTCGCTTGACGCGGATACAATATCTATTTATCATTCCTATTGTTTCCCAAAATTTATTGAACCGTCGTTTTGCATAATGCCGTTCTGCTGACAACGAAAACATTTATTCCGCTACGCGTGCAGTTTATTCGCGCGCTTCATTTAATATCATCTGCCAACCGTTTCAAATGTCCTACCGTAGAAATTTATTGTGCCTTCGATTACGTTTATTCTACATTATTTCCATCGTGACGTGTTTATTGTCGGGGCTTGTAATATCGCCTTAATACCCTTGTTCTGCATGCGCGTTGTCCGCACTCCGATTCAAATTTGCCCGTTCCCTCGGAAGGGGCCCGGGCTCACCCCCCGGTATCGGGATAATCTTTTCATTTGCATGCGATTTTTCTCTTCTTTAACTTTCTCGATTTTTTGGTCAATAAGTAGCAAGTTTCTCCCTCGCGAGTCTCCCGCCGTCTTCTTGTTTAACTTACGAACATGTTCAGCTTCTTCCGCGACCATGAAAACTCCCTCTTGAACTTCTCCATCATACCCGGTTTATTTCCATTTCAATCTTTACTCTGTGCTTGAACGCTTCTTCTCGTTTTTATTTCCTGCAAGAAAAGTCGATATTCTCCCTCGATTTTTCAAAGGTACTTCTAACACCGGGGCTTGCTCCTCTTTAATTCACAAATATGACTCCTTGTTCGCGCGACTTACTTATTTCTATTTTCCTTTTCCCCATCCCCGTCCCATCCCTCGCCCCCTCCCGTGCTCGACCTTTTTAACGTTCAGGTACTGTTTCTAGCGCTCCATGCTTTAATTAACGAATTCTTCCTTTTCCCATCCTTTCCTCCGCGCTCGCGCACTTTCCCGCCCGGCAGTCTCCACCTCGCGATTACCACGATTTCTCCCCCGCCCCCTTTTTTTTCCCCACTCCTCGAAAGTCTCTCCTCTTATCCTGGTCTTTTTCTCAGGCAATCGCGAACAGCCACGACAATCCACCCTCCGTCTCCCGGCGCGTCCCAACTTGTCGCACTCTGCCCATCCTTTTTGAACCCCGCGCCAACCCCTTCCGTTCCGCCGGCGACCTTTTTCACTCATGAGTAAACGCCCGTGCTCCTTCTGTCGTTCTCTCACGCACTCGCCCTCCATCACGGACGCTCCGCTCCCGCTCGCGTGTGTATGCGTGAACAAAATCTCGGATAAACCGGCGAACCTATTTGCCGGAAACTGTCCGCAAATACTAGCGGGGGAAATAAAGTTTCGCCGGTTGCGGGCTAGTGCAAAGTTTCGGGGACCTTTGTGCCGTCGATCGCCGTAGGATACTTTTCAGCCTGCACTTCGCCAGCTTCCCCGAAACTTTCGGCCAAAGCTGTTCTCAAGTATCTGGATGCGCGCGCGCGCCCGCGCGCATTTTTATAATTTATACGCCGATAAATATTTATCGGCGGCCCGACCGTCGCGAGGGAAAAACGCCCAGAATCGTGCGTCAGGTCATTACGCCGTGAATTATTACAAATTCCGTCCGCATATGCATTCATTACAGACTTCGTAAATACAGTGTTCTCTCGAATTATTATTAATTACCTAGATGCTATCCATTCATACGTAATAACCGTGC